ACCGTAAAGAGGGTTTCTTTGTTCGATTCGCCTTTCGCTGAACGACAGTGGGTCACCCGCATCAGGAAGAAAGGACCTCGCTCTCCGGGATTCCCTCGAGGGAGAGTGCTAGGATCGGGGGATGAAAGTTTCCAAGGACTGTCTTATTGTCTGCGTTAGACTCGGAGGGAGCAAATATCGGGGCTCCTGGATAATACGGTATTAATTAATACCGCGACAATGGGATACGAATAAATTTCCTCCATGGAATGCTATTTGATCGAGGACTCGTGTCGCCCTGGCATTCGCAATATACAGCGAGGAGATACTCGAGACGGGGGTGGCGTACGGTATCGAGATGTTCCTCGACAAAGGTGCAACAAAATTCCTGACACGGCCACTCGAGATTCCGAGGATAAAGTAATTTATATGTTCGTCGTGATCGATGCCTTTTATTCTTTCAGCAATATCTGTGGTTCATTTCGTATGTCATAATTATTTATGTATATATTTGATTTGCGATTATTAACCCTTAAGCGGATCATTGGGGGTCATTGATTGTTTAATATGTGAAAATTTATGTAATCTCTATTAATTCACTATTTTTTGAATACTTTAAAGGAAAGTTGATTTCCAATTACCAATTTGATAAAAATGTATCACTTGTCATCACTAGAGGCCAAAATAGGACGAAAATCAAGAATACTAGTTTGCTAATTAATTACTAATACTGCATCTCATAACATACGCAATTAATGAGACTTTTACACATATTATGCAACTGTATTATATCAAAGAGTGTACAAACCCGTGAATAAATAAAAAAATCAAAATCAAGTAAAATAATTCAGTTGAGATTGACAGTCCACTTAAGGGTTAAATAAGATCATTTTCGTACCCTGAAGCGACGCTTAAAAATTATTTCGAGCGGAATTACGAAACGGCGCGTTTAAAAGTTTTTATCCCGGCAGCGAGTGAGTTCGTAAACGATTACGTCGTTACAAGCCGAAACGAGCGGATCGAGGCTCCGAACCCGAGCGTTCCCGTCAATAATCCCGCGATCTCCACTCGATCGTGAACGAACGCGTTAAGCCCTCGGAACGAGGGACGTCTTTAGTCCTGGGAGATCCTCCCGGGAGCCGGGCATCGATTATTTTCACGCGCGAAGGAGCACGACAAGGGAGAAGAAAGAGCTTTTCTTTGCTCTCGTCGGAACGACAGTGGGTCATCTCGCGCCGAGAGTGATACAACCGAGGATTCTCCGCTGCCCCCTTGGTTCCGGGGGGTAGAAGAAAACGAGAAAGTTAGCGTTCGACTGGATCGACCGAAAGAAAGGAAGTCTGGGACAGAAGTTGCTCGGATATCGCACCGGCTCCCGGGGCATGTTTCTGTTCCTTTTTCCGGTCGACGGGACGCGCGCCAACGATCCTCCGTGCTCGTCCTTTGTCCCTGGTGCTCGTAAATCCGACGAGCTCGCGTTAAATATTCGCGACAAACGAGAAAAGATATATTCCACCCAGTCGTCCCTGTATTTACGAGGACGCGTGACGTGTATTAATACTACTTTCATACGGGTAAACATCCTGTAAGAATTGTATACAGATAGATAGCAAGAAGAGAGTGGAGTAAATTCTCTAGAAAAGGTTACTTTTCGACCGAAGAAACGACTTGTCCCCTTTGGACGAGCTGTCAAGCTCAGGTTGATGGCGTCAGAATTCTTTTTGATGTCGACTAGAGACGCTAGGGACATAATCGAGCACGTCTACCGGGGCCGTCTATCGATCACTCTGACGTCGATGTTAGGCAATAATCAAAAGTACGCAATCCATTAAGCGTTCGATGATTCTCTACTCCGTGGGGTAACAGATTAGTTTCCCGGCGATTGCGACGTCGGGATTAGGGACGAACCGTTATGACATTAGGATTTGGGGCAAAGTATCTTCCTGGACCTACCTGTGGTCTGACATAGACCTGCCAAACACGAGCCACCCTAGAACATTATTATCAGTTCGCTTGGAACGATAATATTTTAAACTCCATTTTATGGAACCCTGTTTTGATCCTGTTGTTGCAGAAACAGATTGTGATTTTTGTATAGCAATAGTTTGACATGCTAGGTCTGGCAGAAGACGGGATTTCCGGGCTTAGAGCCCTCCCCCGTTTGGTAAACCTGTAAAGATCAAAGTCTTTTCCTCCTGGAAGACTATTGCTGTGTAGTAGCTTGCTATCGTAGAAATAAATAAAAGGAAACAAAAATAACAGACAATATACAAGTAGGTCGAGTATTTGCGAGAGAAGTACAGGTTGAGCGTAGCCCTCTGTCGACGAGCACAGGAGGCACACCAGAGTTGTATTGTTTCCCCATTGAAGATTCTGATTTGTTCGTCCAGCGATCGAATAGGAAAGGGAAAGATTAAGACAGTCGGCATTTTTCCCCGTGGCCTTTGACTGTTATGACCCACGGTATCATTGCGGGGACAAAAACGGAAGCAAACGGAGGCCGATCGTAACAAATTTTACGCCCGTCTATATAACCGAGCTTTATCGTTCCGGGACCTATGGACGCGCGACTGCGCCGTTAAGGTCTAAATAAGATCGTCCTTGCAGGAGAGTCTTGACAAATCCCCGGGTGGTACGTTTTACTTTCCACCCGGGATTCTCTCTTTCTCGATTATATACGGTTCCCACCCGCGCTACGTTTCTTCTCCTTTCCCGAATTGCTCCCGAGCGCGTAAAAAAACCCCAGTCGGCATTTTCAATAACGTTCCTCTCCGCTTCCGCCCGAATTGCCACAGTTCGATCCTAACGCTTCGATCGTTCGTCGAAATTCACTACGCGTCTCGAGTACCATTTTTTCCTTTCGGCGCTCCATTCTTCGATGACCTTAAACTTCCATAGAAAGTTTCGTGGGAAAAATTTAAATCCAACTAGTTGACTATTGTTATACTTTTTACGAGGAAGAATTGACAAAATTGTAATTACAATTTTCTAAAGAAACTTTGAACTCTAACTCGTCAAACGATTGCATCGGGTTAGGTGAATTTCCCCTGGTCGTCCAATCTGTTCGCGATCGACGAAGTCGACGGCACGAGGGTCACAGACAGACGAATCCACGTCTTTGTTTTCTCAGGGGTAGCCATCGTTCAGACCCCGTTGACGCGACAGAGGAATCGCGAGGATCGTGATTAAACGTCGCATCCACTTCCATCGCGGTGGTCGTTTCCCTCGGTACGCGCAATTTCGGACTTCGTTCCCTGTCTCCGTCGCTTTTTCACCTCCCCCCGGGCGAGGTCGAATCGCAGGACGAAGAAGAGGTTCGATTAAAAGCCCCCGGGTCCCAGGGACATTAATTACGTATCTGAGGAAATTGTCTCTGTGGTCTGGCGCGCGGGCGTTTCCGGTCCGAGCTCGGTCTTTCCGCAATAATCGAGGGCTCGCGTATTGCACGGTCCGAAAGCCCCTCGGCGGACCGCTCAACGTGCTTTGGGCAAACATCTAACGATAATTAGAATCTAAGTAGTCTAACGTCGCTGCCCGTATTTGGAATCGTAAGATTTCTCGTGAAGCTACAATAACAAATAAATTTTATTTTCCAAATTTCGAGAATGGAAACCATTTATCTTAGTAAGCAAAATGTTATTCTTATCGAGCAAGGGGAGTTGGAGTCGCAGATACAGGGATTTTCAATTCGATATTAACAATAATAGCGAAGGAATCACGTCCGCGCCATAAACCCCCAGTCGTTTTGCCAATCCTTAACACTTGACGAGGTCGGCGAGGGAGAGGCGTCGTGGGCGGTGAAAAAGAATCGCGGACCAGCCAAGCACAATGGCCGTGCTGCTCGGGCCTCTAATCGAACTCGTAAAAAGTTGAAGTGCTTCTCCCAGGGTTCGACCCACGCGCGATCGGTTTCCAGTTGCAGTTCGGAACGGCTGGAAAAGTTGCCAGACCAATCCAATTTATTTATTCGAGCCGGTGGAACGCGAGGTCTCTCCTTTGCCCGTGGTCGAACGGATGGATGGATGCGTGGTTCCGTTCCTTCAACGTCCACGAACCCACCAAGAACCTCTTGTCCCCCCTCGAATGGATATCTCACGTTTTTCGAGACCTCTGAGGGTCTAATGGCGAACTCAACGAAACAAAAATTGTAGAATTTTAGAATTTCAGAGCCCAATGAACTCGCACCATTTGTAAATGTGCTCGTTAAAAAGGTCAGAGCCATAGAAGAACATGTAGTGGGTGTTGTCTTCTTCAGACGCCACTGTTCTCCTCTCTGTCTCGCCGTTTCTTCCGCTCTCATGATCGATGATCAGTCTCGAAGTAGAAGAGAGAGGTGGGGATGTTTACTGTGGTTATAAACGGCCTCGTCTGGAGTGTATCCCTCCACGTCGCCGACAGAAAATCCTTCCACCTTTTACCTCGACCTTAACCTCAGTCTGCTACAACCCCTTCCACGCCGCCCCCGCTTCGTTATTTAGCCACCGGTGCTACACCTTTGCCTTCCCACCTCCCGCGTTTCCTGCCTTTTCCCGCGTTTTCCCATCGTTGCTTCCTTCGTCATTAAAGACGTGACATTTCGAACTGCCCCCCCATCGCGCCTTCTCTTCCGATCGAAAGTCCTCTTTACTACATTTTATGGTTCGCTTTGACCTTCGAGGCTCGATCCTTCTTTTCCACTGACCGAGCTTTATTTCAAAGCTCCTCGCACTTTCCACTCTGTACGAGTTTCTTCGTTCTGCGGCTCACGGTTTCAAACTTCCATCGAACCTCTCGGATCTGGAGTTTAGGCGTCCTCTTTGGTCGAAGTTGAACGATACTTCGAAGCAGTTTCAAGTAAACTAGTATGACAATTCGATGACTCTGGGGGGAGGGGGGTTGTATTTTATATTTCCAATTATGTTTCGTAATTTTCTGGGTGACAGGACTTTACACTCAGAAGCTATAAAAATATTCTTAAAGCGAGACGTTGAAAGAAATTCTTTTAGACACACGAGACTCATGCTTCGTTTCCTTTGTTGCAGATGGAAGACGAGGGTAATCACGGCAACGACGACACCAGATGCTTCATCCTGTCGACGCTAGCCGCGCTGCAATGGTCCAGGGTGACCTGCGTCCTTTGCCGCGCGCCCATGCTCGTTTTCGACAGGTATCCCTTGGTCGATGGTACCTTCTTCCTGTCCCCGAGGCAGCATTCACCCGCCTGCGCGGAGGTAAGCCCGAAAATTCATACATTAACATCTCCAAACTATATTTGTCGAGGATCTAAAAATCTGAACCTCAAGATACATTCGGGACTAAAAGATCGAGTCATCAGTAGCTTTGATATTTTCTTTATTCGTAATATTACAAAGTTTGTGCCTCTTAAAATCGCCACACGGCACTCGAGTGAATTTCGATACGCAGAGTCGAAGGTTTTAAGACTTATCTTCATCGATCTATGCGCGAAAGCGAAAGAGGACCATGAAACCAAGATTCCCGGTGTTCTTTGTTTCAGGTGAAGGTCGAAGGTCGCACGCAATTCCTGTCTGCGGTGTGCATGAGTTGCCTGGAGGGCAGCGGCGGACAGCCCGTGCGTTGTCGTTGCTGTACTCAGCCGTGGGACGGTTCCAGCTTAGTCCTTGGAACGATGTACAGCTACGATATCTTTGCTGCCATGCCCTGTTGCACCGAACGGCTGAAGGTGAGTCTCGAATTTCGTGACTCTTCATCTTATGAACTCGTACTTAGTTAAAGTTGAGCGTTCAACAGTTGTACGCGACTACGACTAAATCAGCAGTTGTTAAACCATTTCTCTACCTAACGGGCAACTAATTCCAACGATAGATCGTTAGATCCTTTACAATTACCGGTATTTAGATCTCGCACGCGTAGGTCTATTCGAGCTCGATATATTAGAACAGATAAGTACCGGTATTTATAAAGTCACCGTCCAAATTTCGACGTCTGATATTTTACAACTTCAAAATGCAAAGTTTCCATGTTAGAAGTACCAATGTAAATATCTAAATTTCCTTCGAATTAAAGATTCCAATTGAAAACAATAAACTTTGAATAATTCTGAACGTGTAGCCAAGGCGAAAGAGCTTCTAACTCAACGAAACGGAAACAACCATCGACGGATTAACGTTTGAAAACGTAATTCCTGTTTGTTGCAGTGCAACAGCTGCCAGAAGCCTCTGATCTATCCTCATCAACGGCTGAACTTCTACTCGGACTACAGTCGCGTTTTCGCCTGTCCGCATTGCAGATCCGTGGACGCCCACTTCGTGAAGCCGCTCTCGGTCTGCTTCACCCGCGAGCAGTTTCAGCTTTACAGCCAGTGGCCGTAACCATTAGGGAATTTAGCTAACCGGCGTCTAAACACCGCGACTGACCTGTGTCCCCTCTTCTTCAATCCACTGATCTCCCTGCTCCGGGCGACTTTGCTCTAGAAATCCTCCAACTACTCGTCGGACCGTTTTTTAATTCTCTCTTCGGCTCCATCAGGAACAGGAATCATCGTCATCGAGGAAAACACGAAGAAACTGAAGCTTTTGAAAGATATCCTGGTCCACGGCGCTTTCCCTTTCCACTCTTTTCGCCGCGAAGAGAATTCTCTTTTTTTCCTCCGTCGCGGAGACAGAATACCTCTTCTTTATTTATTTTTTTCTTTCATCGATATCGAACGCCTTCCGTTCGAGGACAAATTTCGAAACAGAGTACAAATTTTAGAGTACCTTAAATTCTTTCGTTGGAATTGAACGTTGTCTCTGGTTCCTCGGTTTTCTGTCGTGGAAAAATCTGTTATCGATGCCGCGTCAGCATCGATTAAACCATATCAGGCCCCGGTCGGAGTCGAGTGGAAAGCGGAAGCGTCACGTTCCTGGCGAGCTCCCGTAGCAGCGATAAGGTTTAAGATTTTTCTTTTCCAACGTTGATGGTAGGGTTTATCTACGTTAATTCAAAGCGAGGGACGACGAAGAGATCCGCCCGGGCGACGACCACGGACGCGCCCCGACGATGTATCGACGGGCTGCGCTCGATTCGCAGGAGCTTCTTCAGGGCTCCTGGCGTGAATTCGGGGCAAGGATATTATCGTCAGTATTATTGGTAAGGAGCAGGTACGGGCAGAATTTCATTCGTTCAACGAACAACGAACAGAAACTACGCGCTTCGGTTGCACGATTCGGATCACCTTGCATCGAAAGAGTGTATCGTTTCTGTCCGTACGAGAATTTTGCCCGTCCCTGGCAACAAAATCCCAGGACAATCCTGTCCGTTGTAAAGTCCAGTTTTAAGTTAGCGAAATCTTATTTAGGAATTCTTGGTTTAGTGATTGTGCGCGCGAGTTCCGTGTTTGTTTTTCTCGTAGGAAAATGTTTAGGACGTAGTAGGGTATAGGCGTTTGTAAATTAATTGGAAAATTAGTCGGTATTCTTTCGAACGGGTGTGGGTGGTAGTCTTTATATCGTCGTTGTTAGCTTAAGGAACTATGGGAAATTAGTTTTAAAAAACAAAAAAAAAAAAAAAACGAACGCGTCGCGCCGTCGATACGTCTTTGGTTTCGCGTCGGGGAGTTGCCCGGTGAAGTTCGAAACGAAAAGCTAACCAGTGAAACGCAACGATCGTCCCTCGTCCATCCCCATAGTCGAATTGCGTTGACCGGGGGGAAAAAAATGGATCACAAAAGGAAAAAAAATACGAGCACACAGAATATTATTAGAACGACATTAGACGCAGAAAAAAAAAAAGGATCAGGCTTCCCCTTATTATCGTAGGTTATATATGTATAAAAAGCAAAAGTAAAAAAAAAAAGAAAAAAAAATGAAACGAAAGGCCACTTTGAACGAAAAGGGGGAAGAGATATGAACTATCGTTTGTTACTTAGATAATCGAGAACGTTGTTTTTTTTACATTTTATTAGTTTATACGTTTACGGCGGCCATGTTGATTTTGTTTAAGGATCTACGACTCATTCGATGGGTTTCACGTTGATCGGCCGGGCGCCCAGCGATTTTCCGCCTTCGAGATCCTCCCCTGAAAATCAAACCTTTTTGTTTATTTTTCACGACGCGGTCTGATCGTTCGAATATTCCTGTTTCGAAAATGGCAATTTTAATTTCCGTTTCGAGGTTTCCAAAATCGTGTGAAAGTTTTTTTTCGTTCTGGTCCTGGGCTCAGGAAGAATACCAATTTTTGTTTACTTTCTCCGTGTCCTAGATTTCCCTTTGTTTTGCTTCCGATTGTCCTCGAAGGGCTGAAAGCCTTGGGCGTCCGAAGTAGCCAGTGTAAATACGTAATTAAGTGGGAGTGAGAACCAAATGTTTGGTGACAAAGATCGTGCGAGTGATCGTACGCGAGAAAAGAAAAGAAATCTTCGTTTTTTCTGGCGATGCTGGTCGTTGCTGTCCATCAATAGCGGCCGTCCCACAAACAGACCGCCCACCGTTTCCCAAGGTAGTATAGTCGATCGTGTACCTTCTTTACGTTACTTCGATTTAAAAGTATACTTAATCCATTATACGTCGGGAAGTGTATTTAGAAGATTATATAAGTCCCGTAGAGTTTTAGCGAGGATCCGCGAACCCGCGCCTAGGCTCCTTCGATCCGTCGAGCAAAGGTTGTCCGGAACTTCTTTTTAACGTCTTTTCAAATTCCTGGAAAGTTCGAAACTAGTGGTACAAAGTTTGGTGAAATGAAATAAATCGAAAGCGTTGAAATTACCAAGTCATATTAGAAATCTTGAAACAAGCTTTACTCACGACGCTTTTGGCCGCGATTTTGATCGTATTTGGTAAAAAGATTTCTATAAATTGATAAAATTACGGAAACGGTAACTAGGTGGAACGAATAAACGTGCATTCAACGTGTGAGCTTTTCTTTTCCATACCAGTGTATATTATTATTTAAAATTGCACGTTTTCTCGTTTCTCTTACGATCGTTCCGTGATTTTCTTATTTGCTTTTAGCTATTTTTGTTACCGAAGAGGACCGGAAATTGCAGCCAAAAGTATGCTAGGGTCGGTTGCCCCAACACGAGCTACTTTTTATTTTCTTTATTGCACACAGTCGCATTATATTTTCTTTCTAAACGCTTTATCGTACGCATGAAAGAGGATTCTAATCCAGTTCGTGGATCGTTATCACCGTATTAGAGCAATCGCCTCTACGAATACACGTGTAAAGCTTGGAGAAATTGGACGTTTGGAAGGAGCCAGCGCGCTATTCGCCAAAAACCGAGCACTATGATTTAATCTACAAGTGGATAGATCGAGACGGAAGGTGCGGAACGCGATGGGGGCGAAAATGATGGAAAGAGTGCGAGTGCGAGAGCCACGAGGGATTAAAAAGGGAAAAAGTGAGAGAAGAGAAAATAAACGAACGCAAAGGGTAGCCAAAAAAAAAAAAAAAACAGTTAATCGGAGCTGATACAGAGGCGCGGACAAGAAAATCGTTTCGCGCGTTTTTCTCAGAGTGCCAAATATACGGGAGAAAGACCGGTGACCGACAATTTCGGTCGTTTCGAAGACTCGGGCTCGGTTCTACCGAGCGTGTTTTGCGAGTAGACGAATAAAGAGAGAGAGAGGTAGATCGTGCTCGGTTTCGCTAGGAATCTTCAGCTCGGGCGAGTATCGTTTTTCGCGGTCCAGCGAGTCGAGATGTTCGGTTGCAGTTCCCCTCGTCCCTCCCCTGGACCTTGGTAAAATTGCTCGCGGATTTTTTTACGCGAAACCCTCACGATAGACGCGAGAAAAAGGAATTGCGGAGAAACGCACCTTTTTGGGGTACTCCCTACCGTTTTCAATTTTTCACAGGCCGCGCGGTCCTCGCGCTCGTCGATAAGCAAAGAGGCAAGCGGCGAGGCGCCGCGCGAGGGCGAGAGACATTTTTCGAACGACTTTCGTCATCGTGCTCCCTTTTTCAGTTCCTATCTCAGGTCTCGATGACGCAGGAACCGAGGGGAAAGGGAACGATCGTGTCCGGAGCCAAGACAGAGAAAGAGAGTTCCTTTCGCGAGAGAATCGATCGCGCGACCGGGACATCGGTGCCTCGATCGTCGGATACACGAGCCCCCCCTCCTTCCTCCTCCCCCTCCCCTCCCAATTGTAATTTCCGCGAAATCGGCTGGGAACGACGATCGGATCGCCGAACGGGGCCCGCGCGTTTCGAGGCACCTGTGGGGGTTCGATTTGTATAAAATGAAAAATTAGTCAGTTTCGACGTATATCGAGGGAATCGTGAATCTCGGTCCCCGACTCGCTCTGTAGTTGCTAAGGCTAACGATTTAAACGATAAGCTAACCTTTTTTTTATTCCGAATAAAAAAGTCGCTGTAACGATTTTCTACCGTTCCGCCGGATCGTCGTCGAACGATCGGGAGTCGGGTCGCCCGGTGGGAGATCGAGCGATCGAGAAGACGATATGCGTCCCAGTTGAAGAATCTACCTCGATCCACGCATCCCTGGGAGCAATCGACGAGAATAGAGATCCTCCTGGATCCTCGACCCGGTCCCCGTCCGCGACCTCGACTCCGGCGAATCGTTTTCTATGTCAGTGTGTTTTTTATAAACGAGGGAAACCCGGAGGCACCCGTGAGGACGCCGCGTAGAATCATCCCCAGCAGCTGTGGAGACGATGAAAATTTCCGGGATAAATCGGTGGCCGCGTCCCACGGGTACCGCCGGGATCCGAATTTATCGATCGTCGTAAATATCGTGTCCGTGAACCTTCTAATGATAATTAATGGGATAGCACATCTATGGCACGTTGAGAGGGGGTGGGATATAAGGGTTGTACGCTGCGAAGGGTGAGCGTACAGAAGCGGTTACGACGCAGAGATACGAAGCAAAAATGGAAGAATAGAGGGGAGGTCTTGAGGACGGAATCGGAGAGAGGTTATGAGTGGTTGAACTATGAATAGAGTTTAGCATATAGTCATTATGGGAGAAGAGAATATGGCGAAGGTTTGAAATCATCGATAAAATAAGTAAGTTTATGGAACGACGGTTTTCGGACGTTAGTTAAGGAACACTTCCCTCATTTCGACCGTCGGTCCCAGCTTTTGGCCGACGCCCAAAGAGATATCCTTGAATTTCGTTGAATGTTTTTAGAGACTCGGCTCTAACTCGGTTAATATTGTGCTCGTCGCTCGTCGCCGCGAGTCCTCTCCGTCCGGAAGAACTTTCCAGGGGGAGGGATCGCGTCGTCGAGCGGTACGAGAGTCGTTCTAGTGATAGAAAGGGAGGTGAGAAGTGAAAATTTTATCCTGCAATTTATATATCGGTTGTTCTTCGAGGAGTTCTTTTCACGCGGTTTAAATAATCTAAGGAGACAAAATATATATATAAATATTATATATATGAAAGCAAATATGAAATATTATTATAGAAGTCTATGATTAAGGATATCGGTTTTCTTTTTGTGTCTTAGTATGTAAGGTTCTCTTTACAGCTGTGCTAGACAACTATAGGTGTATACATAAACGACATTATTACGGTAAAGAATTACTGAGGAAAAAAAACTTCGCGCATGTTGGTGTGTAGAAATTACGTGCGCCCGGCGTGCACCGGGATTCCGTGAATGGGTAATCCTTAGGAATAAAAGAACACGTCTCCGTATCCGTTTTTTAGCGATCGTAATGTACGGGGCGTGCGTGTAACGAGAAAGCTCTGGATCCCTGGATCCGTCGAACGATCGAGTGGCGACGAATACTCGCGCGCGCGCATTGCTCCCTTTGTCACGCTTTTAGAGACAGATCAGTTTTCTTCCCGCGCGCAAGATCGCATAGACAATAAAAAAATTATCACATATACGTCCGGCCAGAAGAGTTGCAAATGAACTTTGAAATCGAAGAACTTCAAAAACCCTAAACGATTCGGAGACACACTCGGGAATTTCGAGGTTCTTTTACGAGACTCGTGGAAGAATGGGAGATCGAAGGGAGCACCGTGGGTTCATTGAAAGAGAAAAATCGCCACGCGATCCTTCGCTGCAGTCGTTGTCGCGTCTTGCGACGACACACGTGCACGCATGATTCGCGCGCGAAACACACATATATATATATATATATATACACACACACGTAGGACACGTATGGCAGGGACAGCAGGTACACACACAGGATATGATGTTCTTTCGGTAGACGCAATTTATGAATCGCCGAACCGCGTGGACCGTGATCAGCAGCGCGTTCGAGCTTTTTTTTCTCTTATCAGCACCTCCTCGTTAACCGAGCACACGTTTGCTCGCTCGTTAGTCCACTCTTATTTCATTCTGCTTCTGGACGCCGTCGAGACTCCACGAAACCGACGATCCTGCTCTTTAAACGCGATACAACCATTTACCCGGACGCTACAAGCTTTATCGAGAACGTAGGAATACTCGACATTTTGTTTTTCCATTTGGAGAATTATAAAAATTTTTCCCTCCGACAGAACTACGTAAAGTATATTCAATTTTACCAGGTCTAGAATCTCTTCTGGCGATCCATTATTTGTAGTGTCTTCCGAGAAGTTTGATCTTTTAATTGAAATCTTAGTATTTTTGGAGGATCTCGGGATCAAGGGAATCGACGGCGCGGAAGGGAAGCGCGCGAAATGGTGATAATTTTTTGTGATCAATACGAAGCAAACGACGCCCCGGGAGCGTCGATCCGCGATTGAACGGCGTACACGATCATCGAATAAGCCACAAATCAGGGAAAAAGAGCCATAGACGTCTCTTCAGTTTCTTTTTCGATGTTCGATCGTCCCTAGGATCGCGGTTCTCCTCCACCTTAGGTTCAGTTTATACATAATCGTATATTTAATCGCCTGCTCCGAACAGTTATCTTTCGTCAGCGTTACCGGTTAGTCTTCAACCACGTTCTCCTTTCTGTACGATTTTCGTTAGTCGCCGAGTACGTTTCCTCGGCGAGCATAGTTATATAGCCTTACGGTATACTCACGGTTCGATCGCTAGCTCCTAATCGATCCCTCTTTGTTGTTGCTTACGGACCTGGGCACTTTACAAATACCATTTAAAACCATCTTGTTATTCCATTCTTCTGAATACAATTGTGTTTTATAAAGTAACTAATATACTAATTCAGTACTTCAATCTCTTCGCACCAGTTAAACTTATAATAATAATTTGAAAGATTTTCCTGTACACCAAATATACTCCCGTTCGTATTATTGCTTCGTGCTTATAATTTTAATTAATTTTATTTCGAATATTTCTTTCTTTGCTTAAAGAAAGTGTATTCAGTGCTCGGTTTGCAAATCGATCCGCTGGATTTCTTTCTTTCCCTCGCGTGGAAGCATCGTTCGCGTGACTTTTCAACGTCTGCGATCGTCGGTTTCCGGGCGCCCCTCGAACCGGAAATTCCCAATTTTCTCGATGCTTCCCAAGGGCGAGAAACACAGACGCCCCCGCCGTCTCAGAGATCGATATCGCGCGTCCAATAGATCAATCGATCGTCCTCACGCGTTTATATTAGTTAGCAACGACGCGCCACTTTGGTTGCCCCCCAGTCGAAGGTATCGCGTGCCCCGTGCACGTTTCGCATCGACGTTCTGCACTTCCTTTTTTTTCCACGAAGTTTGCGAGCTGTTGGTGTCACGCGCGTAGATCGATGGACGCGTCTGTGCGAACGAGAAGCATTCATTTTTTTTCTTTTTTTTTTTTGTTCCGATCCAGCGATCCTCCCGTTCGATGGGTCGATCGTCGTGTTTCAGCTCGACCGGAGTTGCTTTCAGGGCCGCGGACGCGTCGTCGTCCTCCAAACGGAGCGAACGGCAACGATTGAACGAATATTCGAATGGGAAGAGTGTGAGAGAAGAGTGTGTTTGTAAGTTGATCGAGAAAGAAATTAATTTAACCGATTAGCGGCCACTGTCCGTCGACGAACGCGACTTTATCGAAAGACGTACAAAGTGAGAGAGTGAAGAGAGAAATCGAGAGATGCGCATACTATTTAACACGAATGGAAAAAAAAGTCATCGCGAACGCGGAACCGGAAGGGTTGTTGGGTCAGGAGAGGTGGGGACAAGTTCGAGAGGATCGAGGATGACCAGAGGGCGAAAGAAATGGGGAATCCTTTCGGTTCGCGCGTCCGTCGAGTCCCGATTAAGTTTCACAGATTATAAATCTCACTCCCTCCCCTCGCAAAAAAAGGAAAAAAAAAATGAAGAAAAACTTCGCTGATTCAGAGGCCACTGTTTTTCCACGCCCGACGAAGCACTAGGGGAAAATCGATATTCCATTGCGAATCCTGTAAGTGAACGTGTAATTAATGTACATTGCCCAATGGTGTTGTTGATACTGAACGTGTTACGAACGACGAAGAAATTTTATCGAGAGTGCGCTACTGGAGAGCGATTTTGTTTATTTCTCGGGCGGACGGCGTTTTTTTACGTTCCCCTGCCGTTGCGTGCGCGCCTTGCCTCTCGATAATTTAATTATACCCGCGATCTATGGACGTGTAAGTGAAAGAGAAATGGAGAGATGGAAGAGAAAGAAATTTTATTATTAGAGAAGACTCGAGAAACGAAGAGGAAACGGAAAAGATATTTTACTTTTTACGAAGAAAATCAACAACCGTGTATATTCAAGCCCCCGGTTTCAGAGAGCTTTTCGGCGTGTTTAGAGAAAGATTTTATCAAAGTTGATCGAGAGGCAAGGGCGACGATCGCCGAACCACGCAAATAGTACACACACCGGCTGTCTTTCACACTCTACGATTTCTGGAGCCGGGCTCCCAGCGAATCGGCCCTGCGAGTTTTCACGGGGAAAGCCTCTGCGCGTTGGGGAAATATCGGTGCCAAATCGCGTCGTAGGATTCTCTACTCGAGTCGCCACGGATCGTGTCGACGATTTTTCGGAGATCACCGCAAGCGGGGGACGCTTTGACGCTTCGCGGATCTGAAAGCGCGGCTAGAAATTGCTGGAAAATTGTTGGGGAACCGTGTCTCGCGAAAACAGTCCTTTCAATCGTTGTTCGATATCATGTTGCAAACTCTCACCGACCTGAAAATTATCAATCGAGGGAATTATATGGGGACCTTGAACGTCCAACGATCGTTCCACGTAATAATTTAAACATTGTCTTTGTCTCTGATAAAAAGTAACAATTTTTCGTACAGTAATTCTTTACGATTGTCTGGTGGCACGATAGCGCGGACGATAATTCTAAAGAGCACGGAAATGTATTGTTCGTCTCACGAAAGAATGACTTCAAGGGGTCGTCCCCCGTCAGAAACATTCTTTCCAGAGACGAACAGTACAACCTGTTGCACCAGAGTTTGGGAAGGCAGTAGGTCACGGCGACGATCGTTGGTCGTCCACGGTTTCCATTTTGGCGAACGCAAATTTTCGAAAATGTTGTTTTCGTCCGCGTGGCGTCAATTGTGGAGCGCGTTCGCGAATCCTGGGAGCACGGTCCGTAATCGAGTCGATTGGGGATACGTTGGCTAAGGTACAAATGTACATAGGAACATAATGTTGTTATTTAACCTATAACACCTGGTCCCGTTTGCTCTCTCGCGTGTTTCGAGCATATCCGAACCAGCCATCACAGAACAAAAGCATCTCGAGGAGAAAGGAAAGGGAGGGAAATGAAATAAGTATCACTCGACGAAGTATCTTGGAAATTTCGAGGGACGCGAGTCAAAGATCCTCGAAGGACGAGAGGGAGAGTAAAGTAAAAGGGGGAAAAGGGTGGTTTGCAAGGATAGAAGAGAATGGCGGATAAGCAAATCGATATCGCTGACCGGAGGATCGATAAGAGTTAATCGACTCAGCCGCGGAGACAATTGGTTCACGGCTCCTCGGATTCATTTTCGGTTTCCGTTCCTCGTAGGATTCGTTTCACCACCGCCCAAACCCTCCCCTCCCCGTGGTTTATTTCCGTCCTTCCCAGCGATGGCTCGGTTTTTACGAGCCGTGATCCAGTCGATCGACGCTCTGAGAAGAGAGTGAATGAATCTCGTTATGGGAATGAAAGCAGTGAGGAATTCTATACGGGAGAGAAACAGAGAAAGTGAGTGCACACAATATACACACACACACATGTACACACGTAGATTGTATTACTCGTCGCGCACGATGGTTCGATTTTTCGCTTCGTTAGTTTTTCTGTTCGCGTTCTCTTCGTCTAGATTCTCAGGAACAGCGACGGGGCATTCAGTTTTCTCTCTCGCGAGCTTCGTTCGACTTCGAATACGGAGAATAGAACTTTTTAAGAAGGGGTTGGGATCGCAACTTCCATCGTTGCTCGA